TGCACATTTGGTGCAAAATTTGTTGCGTTTGTTACCAGTGGGTTTTAATTTTGTAAGTGTACTTTATTAAAACCATAACACAAATCTCTCTAGCAGATGAGTTCTAGCCCATTTGCAGACTATTCTGTAGGTGATTTAATTTTTAGTTTAAACTGACTTTAAGTGCAGAAACTGAACTTGTTCAGGTTTACAGTCAGTAGATATTTAATTACAATTTATTGTAATTATTTATTTAATCTATGTAATTTATTTAATTTATGTAATTTATTGTAATGTCTAATTAAATGTCAGTAGATATTTAAATTACAAATTTAAATTTGTAATTTGGATTACAAAATATGTAGAAGACAGTTACAGCCACCCTGCTTTCTTTTCGATAAAACAGCAATTAAATTTACAGTAACAAAAACCTATTAAACAAATTTCTTTGTGATCTAAGTGTGGAAGGAGAAATGCCAATACCAGAAGATCAAACCCTAAATAAAAGGCAAACCAAATAACAAGATCCAGAGCTGTGATGGGATCAGAGCTGTAGGGCTGGACTCTCAGCTTGCCCATTTTTAAGGAGAGACTCTCAGGACACAACCTACTCAGTGGTGAGAAGAAACAAAGGTTAGCAGAGTTTTAACTTGGGCAATATGAAGTGTATCTGTTGGCCATGCTGGCATAAAACACGAGCTGATCCCTCGCTCCTCTGCTTGGCTCTGGCTGCTCCTGAGCTGTGCCTCTCAGCTTTGCTCATGCATCACTGTTCAATATACCTGATAAAAACCTTGCTGCTGCGAGAAACCCCAGCTGTGCATTTCTACCTCTGCACAAATGTGCCAAATGGCTACTGAGACAGAAGGTCTGCATTAGGACAGAGGCATTTGAATGTGTGAGATCCACACTGTGCTGTGAAAGCATCCCATGGTTCATCTCCTGTGCCCTGTTCTGGCACCTCACAGAGCCAAATGGGACAAAAAGTTGAAGCCTGGGTTCTACCACAGAGCACCTTCAAATGGTACTGGTGGGGAAGCTGAACCTCCTCTGGCCACTCCATTAAACCTGTCCACATAAGGTTAAACACAAACAAAGCGGGATTGTGGTCTTATTTATTCCATTAGAAATGAACACTTCTGAAAAATAAAGCCTGTGTTGTGTATTTGATTTTTCTTCTACATATTTAGGAAAAAGTGGAGCAGAAAAGAAATTATGAATGCTTAGCTTACACTCAAGAAAGCCCATCACTGTCAACTCAGCGTTTCACAAGTTACCAGGGAAAATATGAGAAAATGAAATATTAATTTAAAACAGCAATATTTTACATTGACTGTAAGCCAAACTAACAGCAAAGTTCATCCATAATTTAATGACAAAGTTGCAATATTTTTCACTGTGCTAGATTAGAGTAACTGAGCAGATTTATGTATGTTGCTGAGAGCCAACACAAAAACATTTGGAAGATATTCCCAGAAAATTAAGAAAACAATCTGAATCTTTCCCTGCGAACCTTTAGTAATAGCTGCAAACATTGTGTTAACATGCTATTTATTTGGTAGTTTTTCTACTAGTTATCAAATATCAGCTCCCAGCAGAAGGGCTGGAAGGAAGGGTGAAAAAAATAAACCAAGTCACTGATTTGATTTTTAATGCAAGTTCTGACCAGATGTGCTCTGTTCTAGACCAATCCTCATGGCAGATCTGGGCTCTTCTCTACAACAGCAGCCAAGACCACAGCCCTGAGTTCAACAGCCTCTTCCTTCCTGCAGGAATTGTACCAGAGGAGTCTGTTCTCTCATCCATGCCATGTAGAGCAAGATCTGCTCTACAGTTTGTGCCCACAGGTGCTCAGAAGATGAAATGCCACTCCCTTCCAGAGGATTCTCCCTAATGACCTTCTGAAATCTGCGTCTTGTTTTTCGTCTCTCGTGAGTCTCAACAGACCCCGTGCCCAAATCTCATTTTGGGAGTTGTTGAAACCTACAAAATTGCCAACTATAATGGGATTTCCAGCTTCAAAAGGAAAAAAAAACCAAACCAAACCAAACCATAAGACAAACAAACAAAAAACAAAAAAAACCAATAACCCACAACTTCCTTTCCTGCTTGTATGTCTTCTTCACATGTAGCTGTCAGACCTGCAGTGTCACACCAGTCCTCTCTCCCACCTTTTAGGAAGCAAATGCCATTTGCTTTCACAAAAAAGACACCTTCAGAAAACACACCAGAAGCATCTAGGATGAAAAAAATAAGTCAGTGGAAGTGCTTGGCGTTAAAAAAGTAGCACCTTCAGACCAGGCAGAAAGAACTCCCTGGACTTTGGCAGCACCTGGATACATCTTTTTAAGCCTGTCAAGCATTGTTTAGTGGTACTTGAAACTTTGAGTCTTTCTAAAATGCTTCTGTCAGTTGTAACTGCTTGGATGGACCTCTGTGGATCAATCCTGAAACAGCATTCAGTTTTGACTTAAGAATGTGTGTCTTCATTAGCATTTCACACTCCTATTTGTTGTGAACAGTCCTATTTCATTATCTGCTCCTCAGCCATCAAGGTTTCTTTTTAAGAAAGGTAGGCCAAAGCTCAGACTGCAGTCCAAAGCTCTGACTACAGGCCAGACCATAAATGAACCAAAAATCCTTGTTGTGGACCACTGGTGGCATCATCCTAAGTAAGAAGGGGTGATGCCAGGTCGGGATAACAGAGAGCTAAGTCAGATATATCCCACACAGCTGCAGAAAGAGGAGTGAGTTTCCCTCAGCTTCATTTCAGCCAGTAATTCCCATAAGACACCTATCTTCTCGTGCTGGGATTGCTCTTCCTCCTGGGGAAACAAGAATAATATTTTTACATATACCAAAGTGCTATTTTCAAAAATTAATTAAGCTGTGAAACACTGTGTGTTTCATACAGACAAAAGGGAGAAGTCTAAGACACTGATGGATGGGAAAGAGGGTTCTCCAGATTCTCTGCTGGGTGAGGATGAATTCAGACTGACAGCACACAGATCATCAAGGGATCAGAGCCTAGCATTGCTCCCCTTCTCTCAGATTTTCATGAAGTGGTAGGGCAGAAAAGGAACCTCCCCCCTCCTTCAGGCAGTCAGCCACAGGATGGACTTCACTCACTGATCTCATTACCAGCGCCAGGGTAACACCCATAAACACACTTTTTGATCAGCACAAATGGCAAAACCATTGAGGAAATCCACCGTGTCAGCCACAACAACCAAAAAACCATTGCTTATGACAAAGCAAGGTGGCCCTTGAACTACAGGATTAAAGACTGAGGCTTTCAAAATTCATTTTGGGTAGGAAAAAAAACACCCAAAACCTCATCAGCATTATGAAATGCAGTGAGTACACAGAAAACAAACAGCAACTGGAGCATTCCTGGACCAGTCTTGGGTCTCAACCCACCTTTGCCTGTGTGCAAGATAAGTGTTTACTGGATTCTTCACCAATAAGAGACTCCAGCACAAGCTGACTGCACAGCCACTGGGATTTTAATGACCAATAAATTATCTGCTGTTTTGGAAAAGCCAGTTATGGTATTTAATTTGACAGCCCCATGCAGGGTGAATTCCATAGACACAAAACAAATGTCAGGCCTCGAGACTAACACACGTTTCCCCAGATGCAAAATACACATCAGTTGCTCTCTTAGGAGGATGGAAAAAGCGAATCCCTCTAAATTATGCAAACCAAGCAGTGAGAGAAGGCTTAAAGACTTTGCTGTTAAGAAGTAAACCATAAACCACACTACTGCTTTCATATCTGCCTTTTTAATTTTTTTTTCTTTTTTTTGCCTTTCCATGATATGCAATGCAACTATTTTAAGATCTGCTCCTGAGTTCCTGCAACTGGCATTTCTTAGAGGGAATTAGGTTCTCATTTCTCTTCAGGACTGCCACCCTGCCCTCTAAACGCTCATCTTGCTCCTGTAGGAAGACTTGGACCATGGAAGATCTTTTCCAATCCAACTTCTGTTTAATTTTGCATGAAGGAAGACAGTGAGGGGAGAGCTTTGTCTTTTCCTCATCTGGTATCTCATTCAGATCTGAGTTGGAACAGAAACAGAGGAGGAACATCCACTGAACTCTAAGTGCTTTCCAGCTCTGGTTCACATCTGTTACTAATGTATCTTTATATTACTGGATAGTTTAATAAACAAGGAAGTAAGAGCTGTCCGGCGAATCAGGTCCCATCATTTCAGAGCTCCATCCCCGGCTCTGACACGAACCTCTCTCTTGCAGAGGCTGATATATTTACATGATTTTCATTCTGCCCGTTTGCTAATTGAAATAACAACGTTTTTCCTTTGCCATGAGCCAGAGCGGGGGAGTCGGGAGGAAAAGCAGAGTAAAAGGTTGCTGTGATGGGGCAGCAGCCCTGCTGTCACTTGGCTGTCACAAGTGTCAGGACAGCAAGGGGCTGGCTCTGCACAGGGCGGCACAGGCCGGAGCTGAACGGCGCTGGGGGAGGCACGGAGAGCGCTTGAGATGTTCAAATAAACTGCGGAACAGCCTAGCAAGCGCTTACTCAGAATCCACGCAAGTCAGCAGCAGCTGTCCCACACAATTAGAGGCTGCGGTACCGAATTACAGGGCTCGGCAAGGGCACGGCTTGCGCTCCCGGGACGAGGGCACGGAGCCAGCTCGGCCGCCCTCTGCGTCCCTTCCTGCCTCTCCGCATCCCTCCCGCATCCCTCCCGCATCGTCCCCCTCGGCCCCGCATCCCTCCCGCTCGGTCCTGCATCCCTCCCGCATCCCTCCCGCTGGGTCCTGCATCCCTCCCGCATCCTTCCCGCTCGGCTCCGCATCCCTCCCGCTGGGTCCTGCATCCCTCCCGCATCCCTCCCGCTCGGCGCCGCATCCCTCCCGCATCCCTCCGGCATCCTTCCCGCTCGCTGCTCGCTGATCCCGGAGGCCCGCAGGGGGCGCGGCAGGTCCGCGGGCGCTGCGGAGCCGCGGCCGGGCGGAGGAGCGGCGGAGCGGAGAGGCGGAGGAGCGGAGGGGCGGGCAGCCCCTCCGCACTGCGCGGCCCCTCCGCGGTCCCTCCACACTCCTGGGTCCCTGGGTCCCCTGCGCTCTGCAGTCTCTCCGCACTCTGCAGTCTCTCCGAACTCCGCGGTCTCTCCGAACTCCGCGGTCTCTCCGAACTCTGCGGTCCCTCCGCACTGCGCGGTCCCTCCGGGGCCGCGGCGCCGAGCAGCGCGCAGAGAGGTGAGCGCCGGGCGGGCGGTGCGGATTTCTCCGCGGGTGCGGGCACCGGGAGGATGCGGTGCGGATTTCTCCGCGGGTGCGGGCACCGGGAGGATGCGGTGCCGATTTCTCCGCGGGTGCGGGCACCGGGAGGATGCGGTGCGGATTTCTCCGCGGGTGCGGGCACCGGGAGGATGCGGTGCGGGGCCGGGCGGCGGCGGTGGCTGCGGCACCTGCCCGGAGCGATGGGGAGCAAAGCCCGCCCGGAGGGACGGAGCCGGCGGTGAGGAATCAGCAGCGGCTCGGAAATGTGAAATAGAGCTGTGGAGAAAGGCAGAGGCTGTGCTGCGGGCGGTGCCGGGAGCTCCCGCGGATATTCACTCCCTGGGTATCCCATTCCACCACGTCCCGGAGCAGTTTGTACCTCTGACTGTCCGTGCAGGCTGAGAGCGGTCTGATACTTCCTCTCAGGCAAAAGGAATCAGGAGCATTTAGACATCAGAGATGAATCGAGACCGTTCTCGATGTAAGGTGTCTTTACTCTTTGTTTTTACAAGCGTTTTTGTATAGGTAAAAGCCTTAGGCTTCTTTCTTCTTCTTTCTTTTTCTTTTTTTTTTCCCCAAAAAATACCTTAGAAATGCATTTTGCTGTAGAGCGAGGAGTGCTGGCATGGGAAGCATCCTATGCCACTGTTAGAATTCACGGCTAAAGTGGGTACTTCAGCTCAGCAGCAAAGCCCCAACTGCTTGCATTCACACATAAAGTTCCACCCTGCTTTAAGGGGAGACCGAGTATTTGACGTTTTAGTCAGGGCAGAGGATCATCATCGTCACGACTGCCGTGTTTTCACTGAAGATCTTGAAGCATTCTACCATGACAGGTATGGTTATAGATTTTACTCTTCAGGATAGCAAAATCAAGGTCATGCTGCAGAACTGTGAACACAGACAGATCCCATGCTCAAAGTGCAGCACCAGAAACTCTGGCATCTTTCTGCTAACCCCATGCTTTGCTGAATGTTTATGTGTGAGCTGAGACAGCTTAAAAAGGAGTGTTAGAGAACTTTCTGGGTATGGATTTGTTTAGGGCAGTGAGCAAGGTACAAGTGCTCAGAGGATTTTAGGCAACTGCTGCTGAGTAATTGAAACCTTTTTGGAGCTGGAGGAAAGAGTAGCTGTTTGCAGGCACCACTAATGAGTGCTCACAGCTATTCAATATATTCTACAAAAAAAAAATTCCCTGCATATGATTCAAATACAGTAAATATATGCCATTTCAGCTGGGAGAGAAAGGAAGAAATTAGTAATTAGGAGCCTTGCAAGGCAGGTGCTTGGGTTGTTAAGTACCTTTTGCAATCTTACAGTGCCAGTGCGAAGCCAAGAGCAGCAGCCAGAAAGCTGAAGGTAGGCTCTGTACAAACAGTGCCAAACGTGTCAGTGGTGCTACTGCAATGTTTAAAGCAGGAACATAGCATCAATTACCATGATTATTTAAAAAGAAGGGAAAAAAGGAGGGGGGTGGGCAGGGGAAAGGGAGAGCCTGGCTCCTCGCAGCTCCATCCTCGTGGTGCTCTTCCCCAGGCTCTGCATTGACGTCACAATGACACGGTGAAGCTGAAGGCAGGAGCTGGGAGCAGTTCTTCTGCTTCACTTTTGGTGACTGAGAGAGTTTGCCAGCACTGTGTTCCTTCCAGCATGGCCAAGAGTGCAGAGGTGAAGTTGGCGATCTTCGGTCGAGCTGGCGTGGGCAAGTCAGGTATGTTTGACTTCTGATTTTTAATTCTGCTTGTCTTTGGGTAACTTCTTTCTCCCTCTGTGCAGACAAACTCTTCATAAAAAAGGGCATCTCTCACCTTCTTCTTGTCAGGGAGGTTGGGATCAGGCCAGGAATTCTCTCTTTCTTGGCTTTTCATGCTATTTTCTCTAGGTTCTACCATATAAAAGTACTTTTGTTACTTTTTAAGAATAAACAACACCAAAACAAACTTCCCAACCCAAATCAAACCCAACTCTCATGAAGTGAGTGGCAACATTATCCTTTTCCAGTGGAACAGAATTAGTAATATTCAGTTTGTCTCTTCATAGCTCGTGCTCAATGAAGGCATGGAATATTATGCTCCCTATCCTCTCTTAAATATTAGATGACTTCTGTAACAGTTACAATTCTGGCTGGTTTCCACAGGAGATTTTAGACTCAGCAACTCAAAGAAGTTTTGTTCTCAATGCTCTCCTGGATTTACATGTTTACCAGCAATCTAAGGCAACACCATGTGTAAAGTTTGCATTTGAGAAATAAACACAGTCTGGCGAGTTGATACGGTAGAGACACAAGGGGGAGGCATAAATGTTAAAAATCCATTTCTACAGACAGCCTTTCCTCTGGTGAGATGAGGAGCAGAGTGTGAGGGTTGCAGCCTCTCTCTTGGGTAGTTCAGGGGTGTTGCATTACCTTGACAGCTCCAGGACCACTCTTAACAAGTCCTTGCACCACAGGGATGAGGAAATGAGGAGACTGAGCTTAACCATGCTCCCGTGGCAGTTTGGGAACTGTAAGGTATTGTTTATTTTAGAAAAGATCTGCACAAGAGAAGGCAGGACATAGGATGTGCTGGTAAGAGCATTAAGCCAGACTCAGCTGCCATCAACCAGCTCCAGTTCCCCAAAGTGACTTTTATATTACACATGCCAAGGTTCTGTCCTATAAATGTATTACAGTTTCAGTAACTTGGGAATGGGTTGTTTATAAAAGCACATTTACCCTGGAGGTATTTTACCAGAACACTATCAGTGAAGTAGTTCTGTCAGCTCTCAGGAAAAAAGGCGTTTGTGAGGCAGAAGTTCTTAGAGATTATACTGCTTATTCAAAGGCAATGCAGATTAAATTCCACCTTTTTGAATAGAATGCCCGAGGGAATGCTGATAATATACTGGGATAAGTTTAAATTCCTCCTTTTTCCCTGCTGCCCTTGCCCCATCCCCTCTTTTGTATTCACATTTCACTGTCCTACCTAAGTTTTGCAACTTCAGTGGTTCCCCTTTTGGTTTATCTTACATTCAGTTGGTGGTTTCTGTGGTTGTCCAATCTTTTGGCTGGATTCAGCATAATGTGAGAGAACATTGAAATATTTGCAGGAAAACTGAAGCAATAAGAGTTCCCTCTCCCTAGTATTCTTAATAGCTGGAGAGTTTATATTTAAAAAATACAAAACTACCTTTTAAGTGCTCCATTAAAATGCTGGACCAGCACAGGATCCACAAGAGCCTTTTTTACCTGTTGTATTCTTTTTGTAGACTTCAATATATACTAGGGTAGTATAAACAGTGAAAGTGTTTTCCTGTAGTCCAGGAACTGGGTGGGAGACAAAAGAAATGGAAAGCCAATAAAAACATCCTAGTCCTTCAAAGTCTTCCTCCTATCACCATTTTTTCCCTTTGAGATGCAAGGAAATATTACATAAAATATGAATGAGGTTCCCTCTTTTGACTGTAACCATATTTGTGAATCTGTGTGGAAATGAAGGCACAAATAAGTGAATTTAATGGGGTAGAAGGGCCATAAAGTGCTATCAGCTACCTCAAGAGAGCAGCAACCGTGCCTTCCAGAATCTCCAGCTTGCTTATGGAAACCCCCCTTGTACATTCCCATAAAAGGATCCAGTTTTGACAGCTTGGCCAAGTGTAGAGAAATAAGAGAGAGTGTGTGTGTGTGTGTGTGTGTGTGAGGGGTGGTGTCAAAAAATACCTATTTGTCTGCAGCCAGCAGTAACAACAGTGGGAGTGCTGTTCCACCTTTGCTAAAAGCAGGGCTGGACACAAAGCTCTAGCTGGCTCTGGTGGGCAGTGCCCTGCTGGAATAACATGTTTTCTGGAGTAACCATGCCATTCCCCACACCTGGGAGCAGTTTGGAGGCAGGATGCCGTGGTCAAGGCTTACTGGAGCAGACTTGGCCAGACAGCTGGAAGATAAGGCAGGCTCTAGAGGCAAAGAGCACAAGGCAGAATGCTGGAGCACACATGCAATGAAAAGGAGACGTTGGGTGATAAATAGGGCCACTGTAATTGCCAGAAAGTCATGCCAAAATCTGCTCACTGGCTCGCTTTCCTGGCTCATCTTCATTTGCTGAGGAGGAGCCAGGCATTAGGTTTTTAATCTGTAAGTGGCTGGAGCACCTGACAGCATCTGTAGAGTTACAGCCGCGCTTTGGAGCATCCTGGAGAGGCTCCTCTCCCACTGCCTGGCCGGACTTTGGATCAGTGAGTCAAAGCACCTATGGAGAAAGAAGTGTTGTGCTTCAGGATATGTGGGGAGCTAAAGCTGCCCCTCTTGCACTATGGAATTCATTAGACCCGGAGCTGAGGAACATCCCAGGCTCATTGTTAATGCCAGCCATCTGTTTAAAGGGTGAAAGACTCCCTGCTCTACAAAGCAGTCCCTCCCAAGACTCTCCCAAGCATGAGATGGGAAACCAGAACACTGTTCACAAATCTGAATAGTGATGACATCTCAAAAGAGTTAAATCCAGGGAAAACAAAGTGTTACTCCACTTTATTGCTGCTCATCAAGTTTCTAAGGTTCAAAGGTTTAAAAAACAAACAGGAGGCATAGCTAATGGGAGTGCCAGTTTTTCACCGTTCTCCTTCCTTGTCTTGTCTCCTGCCTGCTGGAGAAGTCCAGCAGAGTGGCTAATCAACTCACTTTGCCTTTTTACTTAATGCAGACCTAAACCTTTCCAAGAGAAAAAGAGGAGCAGACAGCTCAGAAAGAGGCACACAGGAGTTCCCCCAGGTCAGGGTTATGCTGAGCAATGGGCAAACTCACCAGGTCCAAGCATCCCAACCTGCTCTCCTACAGTGGACTAGATGCTCCTCCCTTCACCCTCTTCTTACTGTATAAAAGCTGCATAAACAGTGTTTTAAAACAGCTGAAAAAAACCAGATGAGGAGCTCTGTCTGAGCCAAGGAGCACTTTGCAGCTGCTTCAAGAAGGAAGTACTCTGTGGGTGGGAAGGGACATTGCTAAGACCTGCTACAGATAACAGGGCTGTACCTCCTAATTTGGGCTGGAGTCAAGCAGCTCCGAGGAGGGGAGACAGCTTTTAAAATCTTTTTCTTTACGGCCAAGAGGAGCTTGGATGGAGCAGAGGATTAAAGTTGAAGTGAATTACTTAAACGGTGCTGTTTAAATTGTTCTTTCACTGCATCCTACAGCTTCATTCCTATGGTAACAAAACTGAGTTTTTCCTGAAAACTCCTTTTAAAACTACAGTAGTAGCAATTAATAATGACTTAAAGGCCTTGTTCTTCCATGTCATCACAAGTCACAGTGTGTGGCCAGAAATCTAAAGAGGAGTGAAAATGCATGAACCAGGAGGAGAAAAACAGGGCATATACTGGATAACCCTGCATGGCTGATGCTTTTCCAACTCATAACTCAGTTGACTACGAATGCTCAAAATACCTCTGCTTAGGAGCCTTTCTATTTTGGCCAAAAAAAAAGAGACAATGTCCAGCTGCAGCTTGTGCTATCCAAAGTGTCTTTTTGCAGGCTGAATGCTCCGAGTTCCCGTGTTAGCAGGGGCTGCTTTGCCCAGCCCCTGGCAGATCTGTGTGGATGGGCTGTGCAGCTGCAGCCAGAAATGGGAATTGTGTGTGGGTTAAGCAGTGGGGAAGATACTGAAGCTCCCACAGGATTCCCCCAATAAATGTGTTGGTTTCTAAGCAAATCGCTGCTTGCGCGATCAGGTACGTGGGGCAGAGGGATGCTGTCACCTTTTGATCCAGGAACACCTCAGATGCTTCCATTTGGGCAAAAGAGTGACCAGAAAAGTGGTTTCAGTAATTTTCACCTGGCAAAGAGCCTGTGCCATCACGGAGATGAAGATCTCAGTGACTCGAGTCATTTTAGGGTCACAGCTGGGAAAGTCCTGAGCAGACATATTTGTATCATGTCTAAACAGGATGGGGGAACATATGTGGGAGAAAGATACCTGGTTTTGAAAGTTCCTACAGAAAAATTCAAGCAGCAGCCAAACCAGAGAGTCCTTCAACAAATCCATATTTTGTTTTCATTATTTGGGGATATGTCTGAAACACACTACCAGGGATCACTTCCCAATTGCAAGGTCTGGGCATGTGGGAAGTAGAACTGCATTCATTGTCACCCCACCCCCCATTCAAAAAACCCTGTGGGTTACTGGGAAAGAAGCCCAAAGTGATTTTTCTACCTCACAAATCCCTGCTCATATATTTCCCCCCACTAGTTGCATTTCAGGGGCTTTTGCAGAGGAAACATGAGTTATTAAGGAGTGATTAGTTATCAAGCTCACAGCTCTGCTAGTAAGGCAGGGAAAGCTGCCGTAAGATCTTCAAAGTCTGTGCTCTACCAACTGATGTATGGATTACTGTAATAAGGTGCCTCTGAAATCCAGAAATGTGGGTGGAAAGAGACTGGATTTTCTGTTGTGGGTTTTATTTTTGTTTTTGCTTTTTTTTTTTTAACTCACACTAGTGTAGTAAATCAATTGCCTTTTTTTCCCTTTGTTTTTAGGAATGGCAATGACAACCAGATGCTTAATTGATTATTCAGTAATCATGTTTATTACCCAATATATTAATTGTCCTGTACTATTTTGCTGGTAAAGCACTCATAAAACACTCCCACTTTTTACATTCTCTGGTTTTACACTTCTCTGAAGGGACTGTGCATGTATGTGTATAAGTCATAACAGTAATTAGGTGACTGACTTTAGGATTATT